AAAAGCAGTTATTTAGTTATTATGTGGGGCATATTTTATAACAGCCAAGAACCGATTGATCATAATATTGCTTCATCTTTTTTATGGTAGAACTGTACTAGGCAGCGTTTAAAGGGCGTATGGCTTTATTTCTTTGGAACCTTAAAGATACATTCCCGGATACAAACGGGGTGATTTGATGATAAATTTGGACTAAAAACATATTCAAACTAATTAATTTATCATAATTTTGCTTTAAATCCTTCTCAAAACATTGCAATTGTCAGGGAATACCCTGGCTATAAAAAAAAACAATCACGTGACTTTCTTCTCACGGTACCTAGCAACGGGTGCGAAGTCGGAGTTAATAAACAGCCCATGACGTCATTTCAGTCCTCTGCTCACGGATTGTTTATTGACGGAAATTACTAACGTTGAAATTTACCTGTTGCAGGTAATATTGATATTCGGCTTTGTGTTATACTTATGGAAGTGATATTTAAAAATTATATAAAATTTATTTTAAGAAAAAATTGAAGCTTTTCGGGTGACCTTTAAGAGCATTGATTAAACTATAGATTAAATGTAATATTCTTATTTTATATTCCAGTGCATTGCCGAAGGTTAAATTTATCCACAAAAAATACCTACACCAATCACCTGAACAATACATACATCGTCCATATTGTTTATTCCCAGGGAACAACTGTTTATACCTCTGCCGATTTACAATTCATACTAACTCAACTCAACTCAATACAATTTCTACAACTCTTATAAACATGTTGGTGGGGGGGGATGGTTAGCTCGTGCGCGCTGTATCATAACTTCTGTCATTGAGTCAACTGGCGTGGTTTCGATTCCCCGGTTGGACGTGACAAGGAGTAGGGTCGCCTGTCCAACCTCGTGGGTTTTCTCCGGGTCCTCCGGTTTCCTCCTACTGCTAAAGACTCCTACGCGGAAGCGAATTATTGAAATAAAATTGAACCATGTGTTAGTCGAATGGACGTTAAACCCAATCTCTCTCTCTCTCTCTCTCTCTCTCTCTCTCTCTCTCCTTCCACCCTCTCTCCCTCTCTCTCTCTCTCGCTCTCCCCTCTCCCTCTCTCTCTCTCTCTCTCCCCTCTCTCTCTCTCTCTCTCTCTCCTTCCACCCTCTCTCCTCTCTCTCTCTCTCTCTCTCTCTCCCCTCTCTCTCTCTCTCTCTCTCTCTCCCCCCCTCTCTCTCTCTCTCTCTCTTTGGTTAATTATTGCATTAGCGTTGAATTTCAATCGTTAACGCCATTTTTCTTGAAACATGATAAATTTAACATGCTTGCTGACCGACGACGACCTCCATGTTGTAAGATAAATTTGTCATGTGATAAATTCCGCACTAATCCGATTGTCTATACAATTTTCATTCTTGGCGTCACTTATCGTTTCTTGAAATCTCCATAACGCATCTATCGTAGCAATTTTAAAATTGTATTTGGAACGTGTTTAACCAGTTGTGTCACGTATGTAATAATGACTGACACCAATATTGTCCTTTAATAATCGTGGTAGTTAGAGAGTCTGTATGTAGAAAGTTGTTACTAGTAATTGAGTTCAATTGATTTAATCATACATTATGCAAGAGCTAAAATTGCCTATTGCAGATCTTTCTTAGGCCTGAAATGTTATATAAACAATTTATTAGACAATTATTAACAAAACAAGACTACTCGAGATTGTAACTAGATTAAATCGGTTCGCCATTTAAAAATTTAATTTAAAAATGGGAAAGCGAGGCTAAGTTTTGAATATACCAGTGCCCTGGTTACCATTATGTACACATCTTGTCAAAACTACAAACAGTGATAACATGGCTCAGAATGAAGTAATTTGAAGGGAAATTTTCAATATTTTCATTTTACATTATCTAGCTATTATAGCAAGAATGTCCAGCTTTTTATCTAAATCTTACATAATGTATCTTTAAGTAAGTTTTCTTAAGTATATATTTATTTATGAATTTATACATTTTTTATTTACTGTTATTTAATAAAATAAAATACTTTTTAAAGAAAAAGGTTTTATTTCTTAAACATAATATTGACAAGTGATTTAGAATCGGGTAAAGATAGAACATGTGACCAAATGGTTACACGCCTACCCATATTATGCGAGGGAATCACGTGGCTAAGTGGGTAAGACGCTGGCTCGCTAGCCTGGAGGTCGGGTGTTCGATCCCTGCATTGGCCGAAAAAGTTCATCCAGATTTTCCGGCGTGGTTTCCCCTTGTCAGTAATACAGGACGGAGGGCCTGAAAAGGACAGCTGTCTATTGGCGTGTACGTAAAAGATCCCTTGGCAATTGGAATTCGATATAAGAGTAGGCCATAGTGCCGCTGCCCGGGCAAAATTTCCCTCATAGCACACTGTATGGCGTATGCCCGTCTTCATTAGCCCATAGTTGGAGGCGAACAGTAGGACGTTAAACCCCATTTTATTTTATTTTGTATTATATGAACTCATAGATACCAAATCTTTTATTTATGTGCCGCCAATCAACCTGATGATTCTTCTAAGGGTGATAAGCTTACTCTTTCTAGAACACCTGATAGCACATTTCATCCATAACGTGGCCATTTAATTTCTAGCTAACTTCGAAAATCTAAGAATAGGGTATTAGGGTGGCTAGTTTACCACCAAATTTCCCTGTTGAACCTGATACATGCCTTTGAGCAAGACACATTGCGAGGTATTGTCCCATCTAATGTCCCCTTGTCAGTGGTGCAGAACGGAGGGCCTGACAAGGACAGCTGTCTAGTCCTTCGGATGAGACCAAAAACCGAGGTCCCGTGTATACATTGGAATGCACGTCAAAGATCCTTTGGCAGTTGGAATTCGATATAAGAGTAGGCGATATTGCCGCTGCCCGGGCAAAATTTCCCTCATAGCACACTGTATGGCGTATGCCCGTCTTCATTAGCCCGGTATAGGAGCAGAACAGTAGGACGTTAAACCCCATTTCATTCATTCATTCATTCATTCCCATCTAATGTAAAAGAGACGTGTGGTCACCATTTTGAAGATTGTTACCATTATCTATTAGTATGTTCCCTGCATTCGGGTGCCCGAGAACAAACTATTGGTTTATTCAAGCAGCAATTTCAAGATATTGGTATTTTATTAAATGGTCCGATTATCCTCTCCGATGATTAAAATCAGTTGATCTTTAACACTGTTCATAACATTTTAAAATTACCAAAACGTTTCTAACGTCCAAATCATCCCGTCTGTTATTGATGTATTTACGCTATGCATAATATACCAAATAATACTTCACGTTTAGGTAGGTCTTATATGTAAGGGAGGGGGCACTACTATACATAATATACCAAATAATACTTCACGTTTAGGTAGGTCTTATATGTAAGGGAGGGGGCACTACTATACATAATATACCAAATAATACTTCACGTTTAGGTAGGTCTTATATGTAAGGGAGGGGGCACTACTATATTGGTACCATATTAATATAAAATAACGGAACGGACAACTGTATATATGTATAAATGTTTAGTTTATATTTAAATCTCAAATAATTTTATATTTTGTATTTTTATATGTTTTTGTTGTATATATGTTCTGTATGTACATAAATTAAACTTATTTTTGTAAATTCTAGAGAGGAGTCAACATAGGCCCAGCCTGTTTTCAAATCCATTTTCAAATGAAATAAAATATTGTTTAAAAGAAAAAAAACCAAAAAACCACGAAAGTCATTGGGAAAATTCATGTGGACTGGGACCAAATGTCATGTAGGCGTAGCGGGGTATAATAAGCTACGTTTATTCTTTACAGAACATCCAATGTCATTTCTATTTTATCTGAACCGTTTTGTAGCTAAATACACCAATCATGGTAAAATTTTATCTGGAATGCGTTTAACCAATAGTAAAATCTGTGAACGCTGTTATGTTGTCATTTATATTATAACCCGGTGAAGTTGTGAAGTACATATATACACGTGGGTGCTGGGTTCTCCTTTAAGCTAGTGAATATGGGAATGGTCATTTAAGATCATATATTTATTATATTAAGTAACCTTCGTTAAGTAAAGTTTCTTCCTAGCGACCCCCGTGACACATATGTATAAATATATTTTATGACAAAACGGCGTAGCCATTGCTATGGAAGCCTATTGTGGCCATTTCATAATCTCGACTTCTCGCCGTGAGAGGTCGAGAGAAAGTCGAGAGCGAGAACGCGAGGGAGTGAGAAGTGGAGGGAGTGAGAAGTCGAGGGCGAGGTAGCGAGAAATCGAGAGAGTGACAAGTCAGGGCGAGAACGCGAGGAAGTAAGGAGTCGAGGGAGTGAGAAGTCGAAGACGAGAACGCGAGGGAGTGAGGGAGCGAGAAGTCGGGGCGAGAACGCGAGGGGGTGAGGAGTCGAGGGAGTGAGAAGTCGAGGGAGTTAGAAGTCGAGGGAGTGAGAAGTCGAGGGAGAGAACGCGAAGGAGGGAAAAGTCGCGGGCGAGAACGCGAGGGAGTGAGAAGTCGAGGGAGTGAGAAGTCGAGGGCGAGAACGTGAGGGAGTGGGGAGTCGAGGGAGTGAGGAGGCGAGGGTGGGAGTGCGAGGGAGCAGGGTGTGAATGCGAGGATCTCGCCCCGAGAACACGAGATTATTTTTAGCTCCCACTTCATTTCGATTGTATCCCACGTCAATGACTATACGTTGTTCTTTGTCAGGCCTCCGTCCTAAACCACTTACAAAGGGAACCTTGCCAGAAAAATCTTGATGAACTTTGATGGAGTAAAAAAGCAAACGTTCTACTCACTGAGCAACCGTAGCTCCCACTTCATTTCGAATCCGGACACGAGATCTCGGTTTTTATTCCCATCTAATCGACTATACGTTGTCCTTCGCGCCTTACACCACTGACAAGGAGGAACCCTCGCCTTTTCGCGGCGAGAAGTCCAGATTATGAAATGTCCGCAATAGGCTTCCATACATCGCCGACCTGCTATCGAATTTCATGCTCGAACGATAAAATCCGCATTGCTCTAGATAACAGTCAAGTGTCACGTGGTACATTTGTTTGGGTTTAGTGTCGAGCGTGGTCTATAGATATTATATTAGTTACTGTTTGAGGGATTTAGAATACATAGTTATTATATGATTTAATAGTAAAACGACTGTAATGGATAACAAGGTACGTCTACTATATTTATTATCGTATATATGTAAACAAATTTGTTCCGGATGCGTGATTGATGTTGTTAATAGGGCAAAATGTAATAAAAAAAACAGACCTATTTTTCTACCCCGTCGAGAGACAGAGAGAGAGAGACAGACATACAGAGACAGAGAGACAGCTAGAGAAATGGTGTTGAACGTCCACTCGACACAAACTAGGTCATTTCGGGACTAACACATGGTTCAATTTTATTTCAATAATTCGCTTGCGCGTAGGGGTTTTTAGCAGTGGGAGGAAATCGGAGGACCTGGAGAAAACCCACAAGGTTGGACAGGCACGCCGCTACTCCTTGTCACGTACAACCGGGAAATCGTAACCACGCCAGTTGACTCAATGACAGCCCTTATGATACAGCGCGCAGGTGCTAACCATTCGCCCCCCCCCCCTTAACTTTCGAAATTATTAGCCTATTATTATTATTATTATTATTATTATTATATAGTTTCTAGCGAGGGCTAAATGAGACTCTCATCGCGTTGAGTGTCTGTTGATTTTGTTGTCTTTTGTGTCCCTTTAAACTTATGAATTTGTGAATTTCACGTCATAATGAATGTCTGTATCGTGATTTTAGTCAAATGCACACCTATCCAGGTAATAGTTAACTGTCACGTGGTTTGGTTTAAAGGTGAAGGGTCTACACTAAGATTAAATTAATTCATTTCCTGGTCTGATACGTTAGAAAACCTTGTTATATAATTTTCATTTTAGTATTGTATACTATTAATTAAGGTACGTAATTGTTAAGTTTCTATCATCAAACTGTATATAAAGATTATAAGATAAGATAAGAAAAGATGCTTATTGCATCAAAACGTCCATTATGGACAGCATGCATACATATACACTTAGACCATGGACTTTATAATCCATGGTTAGACATAGTCATATATATTTAATAATACATATTACATAGACAACTCAATACATTCATACAAACAGTATACTACATGTATATCGAAGGGTTTCAGTTATATGTAGATGCCACCAAATTTGATTTAGATATCTTATCAAAAGCCAAAAACACATATAAAGCCACTGCCTTGGCAATCAATTTTGGTGGGTTAAAGAGATTAAGAAAATTGTAGGAAATCTTAGGATTTGCTGAGAGGGCTGGATATATAAATTGGCTTGGCGTATTTTGTCATACTTGCTACAGTATATCAACATGTACTTAACTCTTAACGTCCATGTGTAGAATGTTAGCTGATTTCTTTGTCTGCTGGTTATGTTAGGGTTTAAATCTAAGCAGGCTAATGAAACTGTACATACTTAACTATACAGACATTTCGTTTCAACCTAATCAATTGGCAATGTGGCCTACATAGATAAGGCGAAGTGTTAGGATTTCCCCCACACCATTCGGGAAACATAGATCCACCTACTTCATACTTCGAGAAACTACATAGAAAACACTCATAATTTTGAATTTTTTTCAAAAATATAATTTTTTACTGCCATGTGATGAAAAATGTACAAAATTTACATGTAGCATCTCTCAAAATACCAATAATTTTCCATTTTTTTAAATATCCGGACGGACAAGAAATATATTTTTAGAATCTGTGGACAATATGCAAACAGAAAAAATGCAAACCAGTTGCAATGATTGTAATATTAGAGATCTATACTGAAACATGTATGCCTACCCCCTGAACATGCCACTGATTGAATTAATCTAATCTATGGTTGCAGAACTTACATTACCAAAGGAATCTGTCTAACAGCTATGTTTTACCATCCCTGGCTAACATATGCACATATAAACTAAAATAGGTGCAATAAATATGAATTATGGTTAAAAATAGGCCTTGATGAATGAAAAAAATGCCATATTTGGTCTATGATCACCCCTCTCTAACAGAAGGGTCACAGAATACACAATTTTCACAAATTTGGGAATATTTCAATGTTTCCAACATCTCAAACCTCAGAGGCATATTACAAATTTGTATTGCAATCCTTGTGCTGAAGCAAGATGTCTGGAACTTTACATTAATTTCCTGAAAAAAGAAGTCAAAAAAGTAGTCATGACAGAGTTGACAACATAAAAAGAGGCCTGAAAAGGAGAAAAATTAACATTTTATTGTTTTATAGGCAACATAAATGCAGCAAACACCACAAATGCTGGATTTTGATAAGAAAATATTGAACATTAAACTGACATTTACACATCTACACCAGTTTTATATCTGGGTCTGGTCTCATTGGCCTGAAATGCCCCAGGGTTCTACGTTTGACTCTGAACAAATAAGGGTTAGAAATCCTTGAAATGCACAAAAAAAATATTTTTGGGTGAAAAAAAACATTCTTAGCTGTAATTCAACCACAAATTCCAATTAAGATCATTTACATGTCAACACAGGTGCATTTAAATCCCTCAAAACACATAAATAGAAAAGGGTGGGGTGGGGCATTTATTGCCTCTCTAAACAGAATGATGGAGTAAAAAATGTCTAGAAAGGCTGGGATATTGCTTCCTACATGAAGGAAATGCAAGAATTTAATGTTTCAAAGAAGAAAAAAATGCTTATTCTGGGTAAAATAGTGGCAAAATTGAGCCAACCCCTGTTTTGAACATTTTGTACAAACCCATCTGCTGTACATTATTAACTCAGTGTTACACCAATTTTCAATTTTCTGTAGGAAAGCTGGAGCTATTTCTAAACCTGACAAACATGTAGATCCCATCTAAGTTATATTAGCAAAGAATATTTGGTAATCTGTGTCCATTCCATTTCACATCTGTCATACACACAAAGACTAAATAAACGGTTTCAATTTTATTAAATGTAAGCAGATTTAATACGTAACAAAATTCTCGAAGTATACCTTAGTGTTTTCCACTAAAATCGTTGATTTAGGACTTAATGAAGACAGGCGTGCGCCACACAGTGTGCTATGAGGGCAATTTTACCAGGACAACGGCGCTACGACCTACTGTTATATCGAATTTTAAATGCCAGTGTGTACACGCGACCGCAGTTTTTCGCCCCCCCCCCCCGGAACGACTATATGTTGTCCCCTGCCAGACCCTCTGTCCTGCACCAATGACATGGGGGAACCACGCCGGAAAATCAGGATCGAACACGGAACGTCCGGGTTAGCAAGCCAAGGTCTTACTCACTGAACCACTATGGCTCCCTAGAATTTATAGTTTTGTAACTGTGATTGTTGGCGAGAGTGTAGGTTAGGTATAGGGTAAGCATTGGGGCTAGGTCCAGGGTTAGGGTTGGAATTAGCGCTAGTCCAGTTTACATCTCGTGACCTATGACGAAAAATTGAGCTGGCCTTACTTCACCCGAGCAGACAGGTTGACAGTTAATGACACATTTACATATTTGTCCTATGGACGCCCGTGGCTATTTTGCATGGAATCCAGTAAATTTTCTATATAAATATGCCATAAATTTATTGGAAATAACTACCGTATAAATACTGTCGTGGCAATGCAACTTTAATTCGTGACTGAAACGAGAGACACCCTTCTATTGATAGCAAGCTGCATTTTATTTGCTTTTTAAATGAATTTAATTCAGCAATCACAACATATAAAACGGGTGAAAAAAAGATATGAAATGTAAAGATAGCAACGCCCTTTTCACCCTTCTCGATAATAGCTGCTTTTAATTCGCCTCATTGTCGTGCAAATCTAAAGTACACGCAAGGTAGACTCGGTCGTCCAGAACAAACTTATCCTTTAAATTTCTGAGAAAATGATACTTAACCCGTTTCTTGGTAGGCAACAAAGCCTTGTATAATGACATGGTTAATATAGTCAAACTACAGGGGCTGCCCCTTTTATGATCAATAGACATACCTGTTATATAGGCATACCTGTAAAATAGTCTTGCCTGTGGCATAGGCATACCTGAAACATAGACATAACTGTAATACAGAAATGAAATGAAATGAAATGAGGTTTAACGTCCTACTGTTCCGCGCTCCGAACTGGGCTAATGAAGACGGACATACAGTGTGCTATGAGGAAATTTTGCCCGGACAGCGGCACTACGACCTACGGATCCTTTACGTGCACGTCAATGTGTACACGCGACCTCGGTTTTGCGCCCGAATGACTAGACAGATGCACCTGTCAGCCCCCCCCCCCCCGTCCTGCATCTGTAATATAGACCTAACTGTAATACTAATTATTTATCAATTATACATGTAATTATATCACGTGATATTCTGGGTTTAATTCTCAGGTTTCTTTCAATCCAATAAGTCGATCGTACTACATTACGAAATAAGCGACATCCACATCGGTTCAAATGGGGACATCTCACTGTGCCCCCTGCTATTGTTCTCATGGGGGGGATTAATCAAGCAAGGGGATTATTGAATACAATGGTGTTAAAAGTATAGTCTGTTTTTTTAAACTACTAGGTTTAAACTAATTAACAACTTTATTCACAATAAATTTCATAAAAGTAACAACAAATACATGTATCAAACATAAATCATAACCCTACTAAATGTGATATGGCGTCAGTATATTCAATTGCACTTTTTAGATCATTAATAGATTCTTCTACTCTTTTATATTTTCGTCTTTTAGGGGGCAATCGTCCCCCGTTATCCAATTGAACTATTGTATTTTCAGTAAAAGTCTGCTGGTGCTATTGGGTTTTGTATTTTTTACTCTGTACTTATACCCAAAATTAACTAAATTTTGACCTCCTTGAGAATTAGGAATAAACCCTATGCGAACTTGAGCCATTTTAAAAGATATAATGTAATTGGGGGTGACAACTATCCTTATATAATGATAGTGAGTTTCTAATCATATATTTGATTGATTTATGAGTACTGTCTGAATGAAAGGTAGGTGAATAATATTTAAGATACTCGTTAACCGATGACACGTGAATTTAACTTATATATTTTAATCATTAAAATAATTAAATTTTAACTAGGTGAACAGTACTAATAAGGATACAGTCTATAATCCTTTG